CCAAGTGACAAAAACTCAAAAGAATGAACACATTCTGATAACTGAATATGGACAAAAATTAGAATATTTTGGAGTAGAAAGGTGTCTGGAAGAGATAGAGAGATCCGAAAACAATCAACGACCAGCACGCAAGGTTAAGGGACTTGAAAGTTATTCGCGTAAGGAAGTAGAAGAAATTTTGGATGGCATTTCCATTTTGCAAAGGAATATCAAATGTAAATGGATTGTGGCCGAACATGACTACTCGGAAAGATCTGAGAAGGAAGAGTACGACACATTGGAGTACTTAAAGCAAGGGCTATCATTTTGGAGATCATCCGAATCTATCAGGGAGATAGTTGGAAAGCGAAAAAAATCTATGCACGTACCTTGCCAACAGAGGTGCCACGTCATCTTCTCACCACGAAACAAGTACAACAAGACAGCTCTGTGGAAACCATCGAGCAAGAAATTAACTCCATCGCAAGCCAGTGGGGTCTAGAAGTCGTCAGAATTGCAGGAGATGGGAACTGCTTTTTTAATTCAGTCGCATTTCAAGTTTCGCAGTTATTGAGTAGATGTGATTTGCAGACGCATGTTAGAGAGCATTTGTATACTTTGGGGATCTCATCAGCAGTCTCTGTTCCCGCAATAAGTGATATTTTGCGAAGCCATCTTGTCGCAGAGTGGACAGGACCTTTCACTGAAGAATACCAGCAATTTGTGGGTGAGGACGTCGACTTTCAGCAACAAGCACATGCTTTTTTAAATTCGGGTGTATTCGCTTCCACTATCGGGGACCTGATGCCACTTGGTTTGTCCAACGTCTTGCAGATACCGATACTAGTGCTATCAACGCAAAATCTTGTTCCATTTTATGAAATATACCCTCGTTCGTCTATTGGGAATGGAGAAGCAATATTGTTAACATTTAACCATGGTGGACCAGGTCATTATGATGCCTTAGTTCATAAAAACCAACACGCTGAGGAGAACAATAATGAAATCCACGATAATGGCCGCGTTTTATTAAACAAAGAAAAGACAGATAATTCAAATAGGGGAGCGTGTCGGTGTGGAATAAACGCCGGCAGGTCAAAGATGAATGGACCTGGGAAAAAATGCGCCTATAAGAGCCGATGCAAGTGCATACCACGTTATGGGAGTTGCTGGCACAAGTGTAAATGCAAAGGTCATTGTGGGGAAAATGGTAGTTGCAGAGTAATCAGTTCTGAAAATGTCAAGGGAAAGCGAAAATCAGGCAATCGAAAAAAACAACAAATTCAATCATCGCCATTCAAAAGCTCTCGCATTTTCTACGAGGAACGCACAAACTCCCAAATTGAAGAACCGTTCAATCGCCTAGAGTTTTTAATAGTAATGATTATTTATGTTACATTGAAAGGACTAAATGGAAATATTTCTAATGATTATAGCAGTGACGTTAAGAAGATTTACACCAAATTAATTGGACTGGTTACACAACACGATTTTTTGTGTAATTTGCCCTTGTTTGATAAAACTCTGGAACAAATTCGGAAAAATTTAAACAAGAAGTAACTTTAGTTAGTAAATATATACTAAGAAATATTAACTAAAACAATATCGTTATATCTATTTAGTGTAAATACAACCAGTGATTATTGAAAATGGTAAAGCTACCTCGGCTACACTATAATCACCTAATGCGTGATGGCGGTTTGTCGAGCTTTCCGCTTGTAAGAATCCTATTATGTTAAATTAAAAATATTTGTTAGTTTTCTACAAAATTACTGGTTGTATTTACACCGTCGCAGTCAGTGTCGTACATTAACCCTGTAACACCAATTTGGTATTTTACAAATACATTTTACTTGTTAGTCGGAATGCAACTAGACGACTTACTACGCCTACTACCCGCGTACAATAGGGGGAAAATTTTGCCACGTCAGCAACAAATCAAATTGCAAAACAAGCACTTGGAAATATAAATCTCATCAACACTGTAACACCCTTTGTGGCACTATGATATTTTACTTGTACTGACGCCAGACAACCCAAAAGATAGAAACATCGAATAACAAAAACACAGAAACATAGAAATATAGAAACATAGAAATCTAGAAACACAAAAACGTAGAAACATAGAAACAGAGAAACATAGAAACACAGAAACACAGAAACGTAGAAACACAGAAACGTAGAAACGTAGAAACGTAGAAACGTAGAAATGTAGAAACACAGAAACATGGAAACACAGAAACACAGAAACACAGAAACACAGAAACACAGAAACGTAGAAACGTAGAAAACAGAAACACAGAAACACAGAAACACAGAAACACAGAAACACAGAAACACAGAAACACAGAAACACAGAAACATAGAAACACAGAAACATAGAAACATGGAAACATAGAAACACAGAAACACAGAAACACAGAAACACAGAAACACAGAAACATAGAAACATGGAAACATAGAAACATAGAAACATAGAAACATAGAAACATAGAAACACAGAAACACAGAAACATAGAAACATGGAAACACAGAAACATAGAAATGTAGAAACACAGAAACATAGAAACATAGAAACATACAAACACAGAAACACAGAAACACAGAAACACAGAAACACAGAAACACAGAAACATAGAAACATAGAAATGTAGAAACACAGAAACGTAGAAACGTAGAAATGTAGAAACACAGAAACATAGAAACACAGAAACATAGAAACATAGAAACATAGAAACATAGAAATGTAGAAACACAGAAACGTAGAAACGTAGAAATGTAGAAACACAGAAACGTAGAAACATAGAAACACAGAAACACAGAAACACAGAAACACAGAAACACAGAAACGTAGAAACATAGAAATGTAGAAACACAGAAACACAGAAACACAGAAACACAGAAACACAGAAACACAGAAACACAGAAACACAGAAACACAGAAACACAGAAACGTAGAAACATAGAAATGTAGAAACACAGAAACATAGAAACATAGAAACATAGAAACATAGAAACATAGAAACATAGAAACATAGAAACATAGAAACATAGAAACATAGAAACATAGAAACATAGAAACATAGAAACATAGAAACATAGAAACATAGAAACATAGAAACATAGAAACACAGAAACACAGAAACATAGAAACACAGGAACACAGAAACGTAGAAACATAGAAATGTAGAAACACAGAAACATAGAAACATAGAAACACAGAAACGTAGAAATGTAGAAACACAGAAACACAGAAACATGGAAACACAGAAACACAGAAACGTAGAAACATGGAAACACAGAAACACAGAAACACAGAAACACAGAAACACAGAAACACAGAAACACAGAAATGTAGAAACACAGAAACACAGAAACGTAGAAACGTAGAAATGTAGAAACACAGAAACATAGAAACACAGAAACATAGAAATGTAGAAACACAGAAACATAGAAACACAGAAACGTAGAAACATAGAAATGTAGAAACACAGAAACGTAGAAATGTAGAAACACAGAAACATAGAAACATAGAAACAGAGAAACATAGAAACACAGAAACACAGAAACGTAGAAACACAGAAACGTAGAAACGTAGAAACGTAGAAATGTAGAAACACAGAAATGATGGAAACACAGAAACACAGAAACGTAGAAACGTAGAAACACAGAAACACAGAAACACAGAAACGTAGAAACATAGAAATGTAGAAACACAGAAACATAGAAACATAGAAACATAGAAACATAGAAACATAGAAACATAGAAACATAGAAACATAGAAACATAGAAACATAGAAACATAGAAACATAGAAACATAGAAACATAGAAACATAGAAACATAGAAACGTAGAAATGTAGAAACACAGAAACACAGAAACACAGAAACATGGAAACACAGAAACACAGAAACGTAGTAACGTAGAAACGTAGAAACACAGAAACACAGAAACACAGAAACACAGAAACACAGAAACACAGAAACATAGAAATGTAGAAACACAGAAACACAGAAACGTAGAAACGTAGAAACGTAGAAACACAGAAACGTAGAAACGTAGAAACACAGAAACACAGAAACACAGAAACACAGAAACACAGAAACACAGAAACACAGAAACACAGAAACACAGAAACACAGAAACATAGAAACACAGAAACGTAGAAACCTGGAAACATAGAAACACAGAAACATAGAAACACAGAAACGTAGAAACATAGAAACATAGAAACACAGAAACACAGAAACACAGAAACATAGAAATGTAGAAACACAGAACAGAAACGTAGAAACGTAGAAACGTAGAAACACAGAAACACAGAAACACAGAAACACAGAAACACAGAAACACAGAAACACAGAAACATAGAAACATGGAAACACAGAAACATAGAAATGTAGAAACATAGAAACACAGAAACGTAGAAATGTAGAAACACAGAAACATAGAAACATAGAAACATAGAAACATAGAAACATAGAAACATAGAAACATAGAAACATAGAAACATAGAAACATAGAAACATAGAAACATAGAAACATAGAAACACAGAAACACAGAAACATAGAAACATGGAAACACAGAAACATAGAAATGTAGAAACATAGAAACACAGAAACGTAGAAATGTAGAAACACAGAAACACAGAAACACAGAAACACAGAAACACAGAAACACAGAAACACAGAAACACAGAAACGTAGAAACGTAGAAACGTAGAAACACAGAAACACAGAAACACAGAAACACAGAAACACAGAAACACAGAAACACAGAAACACAGAAACACAGAAACACAGAAACATAGAAACACAGAAACGTAGAAACCTGGAAACATAGAAACACAGAAACATAGAAACACAGAAACGTAGAAACATAGAAACATAGAAACTAGAACCATAGAAATAAGAAACATAGAAACATGGAAACACAGAAAACTGGAAACACTGTGTTATATATTTCCGCGATTCTAATTATATATTCCGTGACCCGTAACATGGGCTTATAACCCAGAAAGATTAGTTTGATTCGATATTTCCATTACGGAAAATCAATATGTCGCGTATCAAACAATCGCAAGAAACAGTATGTCTACACAACCGTACAATTGGCAAGCAGGAAAAACTAATGTCTACGATAGAGTAAAGTTTTTGTTCAATAATGAAATACTCTGTGATGTTCATTTTATCGTTGGCAAGGGTTCGCAAAGACGACGTATTCCTGCACATCGGTTTGTCCTCTCAATGGGAAGCGCTGTCTTTGATGCAATGTTCAATGGTGGTATAGCAAGCCCAAATGATGATGTAGAACTGCCTGATGTAGAATCATCAGCTTTTCTTGCTCTCCTAAAATTCTTATATACAGACGAGATCCAAATCGGCCCAGAAACTGTCATGACTACATTATATGCAGCTAAAAAATACGTAGTGCCGATTATGGAAGATGCTTGCGTTGATTTTTTAAAGAAAAACCTTCGTCCTGATAATGCATTCATGCTGTTGACACAGGCGAGATTATTTGACGAGTCACAGTTAGCAACTAGATGTTTGGAATGTATTGATAAGAATACGTTTGAAAGTTTTAATGCCGAAGGTTTTACGGATATTGATTACAATACATTGTTAGCTGTTTTAAAACGTGACACACTAGGACTGAAAGAAAGCCAGTTGTTTCAACACGCAGTGCGATGGGCAAAACAAGAATGCGAGCGAAAGGAATTGAACAAAACGCCAGCAAATCTAAGGTAAATAATACAGATCTCTCGTGTATTACAATCATTAATATATTCTGGTATGGAAGGGAGCTCTTTGCAAGGATTCACGTCTAAATTTTAGTGGTTACGACTTAGAGAACTGTTGACATTTGAAATTAATAATCACAATCGATGATCGAAAATCCGACAAAAATCGATGATCGAAAATCCGACAAAAATCGATGATCGAAAATCCGACAAAAATCGATGATCGAAAATCCGACAAAAATCGACCCTCGACTTTGTACCCTCGACCAAAACCCAACCTCTGCAAATAGATGAAAAATTAATTCTATTTCTAGGTGTGTCTTATCTGAGGCTTTGTACCAGATCCGTTTCCCATTGATGCCAGTGGAAGATTTTGCAACAGGCCCAGCACAATCTGGTATCTTAACAGAGAAAGAAATTGTCAGTTTATTTCTGTATTTCCATGTGAATCCCAAACCAAAAGTTAATTTCATTGATAAGCCAAGATGTTGCCTGACCGGCCGGGAGAAGTCTGTCAGGAGATTCTCAAAAGTTGAAAACCGATGGGGTTATAGTGGTACAAGTGATCGGATTCGGTTCTCGGTAAACAAGCGTATCTTTGTTGTTGGTTTGGGCCTTTATGGTGCAATTCATGGTCCCAGTGATTACAATGTCAAAATGCAAATCATTAACACTGAGACTGGCTTGGTTTGTGGAGAGAACGACACAGCGTTTAGTTGCGATGGAACCCCAAGCATATTCCGTGTGATGTTCAGTGAACCAATAGAACTCTCCCCAAGCATCATTTATGTTGCAAGTGCAACCTTGAAAGGTGCTGATTCGTATTATGGCACAAAAGGACAGCGTAAAGTTGTTTGTGAAATACCTGAACCAAAGGATGAGAATATTGTGTTTCATTTTTCATATGCTACTGGAAACAATAATGGAACCTCGGTCGAGGACGGACAAATTCCTGAAATAATTTTCTACACTTGACTCTAAAATGTACCCTAATTTTGACATATCTGCATGATGTAGTTAGGTGAACATCTTTGAGTGACTGTTATACTCTTAAACTTTGTATATATTTGGCTACCTTGAAACTGAAGTTGATTGTGGGTATGAAATGCATTAGAAACACAGCTATATAAACAAGTGTTTGTCATCTCCACTATCAACATCCTAGATATCAAATAAACTTATGTAACATACATGTCCTATATTACAATCAAGTGCTAAAACACATTTTATATATAGAATTTTAGGCCTTGTGATATATATATGTACATAATGGTGTTATTTCAGAGATCTTGAGAAAAGACCTTGAGTAAAATAACATTAGCTAACTGAACTAGTGTTCTTGGGCCGGTTGTATCAAGCCTGTTTAGCTTAAACGGTGGATAAGTCAAAATTAAATAACATTCTTACATCTGTCTTGAATGAGTTAACTTGAATATTATGCACTAAATATGTAGTTGTAAACAGTATCTTTGCATTAAGGTTAAAAACATTTAGTTTGCTTGTTGAATAAAACGATAGACTTGCTTTCTATTTTGAACTTAACCACCGTTTAAGCTAAACGGGCTTGATACAACCGGCCCCAGGTTGACAGACCATCTACAATGTAGGCTGCTCAAATGTATATGGAAGTAAGTTGTTTATGTATTTTTTGATTTGCTCTAAGCTAAAATAATTGTTTGTGTGCTGCAGTAAATACAAAAGGCATTAAAGTGGGATTCAAAGAATACCTATTCATCTTTTCTATTCCTTTTCCTTCGATGATCCAGATCATCAACAAAATTGCTCATCATTTCGTATTTTCAAAATAAGTTCCAATGCTTTTTTAACATCCTTGCTTATAACTCCCTACAGCAAGATTGATGATTTCTGTTTTAAAATGAGTTGGTTTAGCTAAAGTTAGTCCAGGCTAATTTCATTACCTGTAGTGCATTGAGTAGATGTAATCTATACACATTAATTGTCTTGGAATGCTCAGTATCTGCCTCCTGTGTGAATTTGCAAATATAGCATTTAAAAACCTGGCAGATATAGTGTATTAACAATGCAGTTTATCAAATTACAAAGTAGGATGATGTAGTTTCATACCATCAACTGGTTTTGAAGCCTTAAAACTTGTTCCTCCAAAGCACAAATTTTCTGCTCAGATTTCATTTGTGCCTCATCCCGTGTTTGATGTTTCAATTCCAAAATCTAAACAAACCATTTTCAATTGCATTATTACATCTATATATTACATTAATGATATACCTGCATTGCCATAACATGCATGCATGGTCCCATTATTAAACACTATATATGCATACCTGACGTTTTAAATTATCATTTTCCTTCTTTAAATTTGAAAAACTAGCATTCAAAGTTGACAGTTCTTCTTCAGTCGATTCCTATTTTACATAAGAGAACACCTGATGAGTAAGTGACCTAAACCTGTACCAACCAATTTTGTCTAGGCCTGTATAGTTACATTACAACAATCAATTATAATACTGGTTTATATATTAATTAAGTTACCTTTAATTCCTGATAAACTGTTATAGGAATAGTTGGTATACTGTCATCAACATTAATATCAATCTATGTAGGAATGATTTAATATAACTTATTTCAGAGAAGTTAATTATAATGCATAAAATCCACAGTCTGTAATTAAAATATATCTTACCAGCTCATTTTTCAATTGCTCATTTTCTGCTTTTAATGCATTTATTTCCCTCTGAAAATTCTCCTGTTGTACTTTTTCCACATCATCTTTGAAAAAAAAATTGAATTTAAATTAATGGAACAGAAGGACATCACTTTGATATGTAATTGACTAAAGTTTTATATTAATTTTTTATTTCAATCTTACCAGATTGTCCAACAGTTATTTTGTTATAATTAATGTCCTCCTTCAATCTGTTTACTTTGTTCTAGACGTAACAAAATAGAATTTTTTATTAAGTTCTTATTTTGCATTGTCGGTGTACAAGGTAAATCAGAAATTTATGTAGTACATAGATTGCGATGAAATGGTTTGAAGCAATGTTTTTCACATCACGGTACATTATATTTCTTAATTCTTACCTTGTTTGAGTGTGACATTTCCATTGTGGGCAGTTGAGTGTTTAATCGGTTATTTTCTCTTTCTAACTCCTAAACATGTTTAAAGACAGATGATCATCTGAAGCTTGCATACATATACAGAAACAAATCACCCATGCAGGTACATATTATCATTAATCAAGTAAAGTCATTCAGAAAGTCAATGTATTGTGTGTTGTTTTTGGACTGACTATACAAAACCAACAGCACATGGCCTATTTGTTAATTGGTTTAGTTTGTCTCATATATTAGATGTTGGATGCAATGTTTTCATGCAGCAATTTGGACAACTAAGACCAAATCAAGATGAAGACAAAAAAACAACTGCTTTACCTGATCCAATTTACAAACATTTGCTTCAAGCCTGCCAGGATGCGATGATGAGGAAATGAATGTTGAAACAGAATGCTGCAGAGAAAAATACTATTTTAGTTCATCTAAGATCAACTTAAGATGCAGCTATGCAACTTTTCAAATGCCAGCTATATCATTCCCCAGAAAAACGTCTGCATAAAGTATACACTAAAAGCTTTTGGTAAAATGCAAGGCAACTTAATTATGTCATATATGCAAAGTAATGGCGCCAATGTCCTGTCAACATTTTGAGTAGATCATAGAAAAGTTGGATTAATAGAAGATTATCTTCCTAATGACGTTGACTTAAGATTTAAAGAAATATTTGCTTTAAGGATAAAATTTTAATTACACAGTACAAGTACAAGCTGTGCTATTGTAGGATGCAATTTTGCTGTGCCCAAACATATATAATCAATGGATGGATGGCTTACTATATATGGAAGGAAAAAAGCACTGTAATTACAATGGCCTTAATGATTCTCCTGTTCATTGTTTAGCAGTAAAGAATTCTTCGAAATGATGCCATTAAGACGCAAATGTCATGGTGGGGCACAAAATAACTGAACAATTTAGTAATTTAATAAATGCATCAACATACCGAAGATGATCGTCTGTCACTGCTGTAGACACTCTAAAACAGTCAAAGCATAAAATCAGCAGTGCCAGGTGCCACATAAAAAAGTTATCGAGGAAACAAGCTTACACCGAATCTGTGTTCTGAATCAGGATGAGACAACATTGAAGCAACATCGGAGCCGTCATTACTACCAATCACAGATCCCTAAAGGGGGAATAATTACATCAGCAAAGTAATGCCAAATTGGAACTGTGATTTTCAAAATGCAGGAATAAGAACAAGAATTAAAATCACTTACATCTTGAGAGTCCTCATCATCAATATATTCCTCAGCTACAAAAATAATTGTAAGTACAGTAAGTATTTATTAAATGATTGTTTGGCAAACCAGCAGCTAAATTCATTACTACATTAAGTTAAATTCAATTACAATAATTTAATACAAAAATAGAGGTATGGTTATAGATACCATAATCCCATTGGGGTAAAACTGGAGTGTCAGAAATTATCCTCACAATTTCACCATAGCCACTGATCCGAGCAAAATCTTCAGCTGGAATATGAAAAGCTCTTCATCAATGCAATATATTATGTACCAGCTAGCATTCATGGAAAATGTTCATATTGTACGTACCTTGGTGACCATTACTATCCCTCAATAATGGATTAGCCCCGTGTTGTAACAATGTACAAACAGCATCTTTCAGACCAATCAAAGACGCATACATTAATGGTGTTCTAAAAAGGAGGTTTAAAATACTCTATCATGCCACATATAATGTTTGTAGTCTATTAATAATAAAATAATATCTGGGGCCGGTTGTATCAAGATTAGATAACACTCTTACATCTCTCTTGAATAAGTCAACTTGAATATTATGCATTGAATATGTAGTTGTAAACAGTATCTTTGTATTAAGGTTAAAAACATTTAGTTTGCTTGTTGAATAAAACGATAGACTTACTTTCTATTTTGAACTTAACCACCGTTTAAGCTAAACGGGCTTGATACAACCGGCCCCTGGAATTTAACAAGGATCTTACTTATGTGCACTATCAGTGACATTGACTCTTGCTCCATTTTCCACAAGTATTTGTACAATACTTTCCCGAGCAGCCTGAATAGCAATCAACAATGGTGTTCTACCATCCTATATTTACAAAGACGTTAATTTTTATTGAAAACTTGGTAGTGTCTGTTCTACACATCAGAAAAAAGGGAATAGATTGGCTTCTGTTATGAAGTATTATAAAATTCCCAAAAAGGGTTAGGTTTTAACATTCATGAGATAATTTGCAATGGTGGAGTGATCTCATTTCAACCCAGTCATTGTGAACCCAGGTCATTAATGCCTGGTGGTTGAAACTTGAAAGAAACTGCAAATAAGTAAACAAACCTTATCTCTTGAATTTAACTTTGCTCCATTTTGAATAAGAATTCTTACACAATCAACATGGCCTTTGCTTGCTGTGAATACAAAACAAATTTAGCATCTTCTTCAATTCAAAATGAATAGACTGGATTTGCAATATGATACATGTATTACAAATACACAAAAAGGTTTCAAAAATTAATACAGCTGAATACCTGAATGATGCAAGGCTGTCATCTTGTCCGCATCTATACTTCCAACTCGAACTTTATATTGCAATAATTTAACAATGGAATCTGCACTCCCAGATTTTGCGGCAGTATGCAGTGCTGAGCCACCTTATGATAAAAAATAATTATTTTGAAGAGATTTTCAATTTGCTTCTCTTCAATCACTCAACTTTCCTAACCTGCTTTACTGACTGGTACAACATCAGTACACCTTTCTAGTAATGCTTCAAGGCATTCAACGTGACCATGTTCACAAGCAACATCCAACCTGAAAGAGATGATAGAGTCACTGGAAGGACTCTATTGTGATCTTAATTCAGACATTCAGTTATTTCTGTAATTGCATGGCATGAGTTGTAGCAATACCCTGCCATGTGATTTATCAGTTTATGAATATTAGTGCATTTGTATTAACTTTGTGCTGTTTGTATTACAGTATCTCTTTGTATTCAAGTGGCAAAGCAAAATAAATAAATAAATAAATATATAAAACAGTACAATAATACAACCAACAATGATTTTTGTCACAGTATCAGTGATAGTTTCCGACTAAAACACGTGAGACAGTGATACAAAATAGATGGGCCATGTTTTTCATATTTATATATTTTTGAAATATTTACATTGTTTTTCCATCAGATTTCTTCTTTAAAGGTGTGACACCTTTCCTCAATAAAGCCAACCTATTTGGTAGAAATATTAATATTTATATTTACAGGTTTATGTGGGAAAAACAGCTTAAAGTGGTTCTCAACCCACCCTGTTATACCTACCTCAACTTATTTTCTTCACTATGAACAATATAATCCAATATTTTATCATCATACTTCGTCCACTCCATCAAAGCTACCTGCAGAAAAAAAGGACATGGTGAATATTTTAATACGTGCGTTCTTGTATAAAGTACGATTTTATAATAGAATAAAGCAATTTCATAGCTTTGTTTTTTAATACTAACATGAGAAGATGATCCTTTCCCAAGTTTGTCCTTAAATTTCTTCATTTTAAACGTCTAACTTTTTACTAAATACTAGTTTGGGACCATTGATCAATGTTTGGGACCTTGACGTGCAGGTAAATATAGCGAAATATGCGAATATTCATCGTAAACATAAGTCGTAACCATGATCACAAAGGTCATTTCAGACATTTTTGACTAAAAAAGTAAATACAAACATCCTAAAATAAACAAAATGCAAAAAACAAAACAATTCACGCAATTTTTAATCTTTTACTCTCAGCAAAAGAACAGTCCACGTGAGCCTGAGATATCAGATATCTTACGAACAGCGGCCATCAAATCCCCCATACTTTATTAAATACCATCAAACGAAATGATGTCGTTTGCATTCGATGTGAATAGTTGCATATCAAGTATGGTAGGTACCGTAGACCTGTTTTCAACAATCAAATTATTTTAATGCGTTTTAAAGATATATTTGTAAAAATGAGTGGTTACAAGCTTTGCGAACAACTAGAAATGGATATAGTGAATTGGTCATCACTTTCATTATCTGACAGACATATATTTAACTTATGTCTCAACTGTTTAATACTAGTTTGGTATTCTTTATCATAATTGACACAATGGTATTCTTTACATTCCTGTTCTAAATGATATCACTCAAGATTCAGTAGTTGCCTGCTATTGCTGTTATAACGAACTCAGTGGTAATAATAGTGAACGATGAAATGGTCTTGTAATAAATCTCAACTTATCTCAACAAAGGGTTTGTTCTCAACTCTCCGAGGGTACAATCACCTACTTTACTGCATCTCCCTCCAATCTTGGCCTGAATGAGGGCAGTGGGAACCAGGCCTGATACTGTATGGGTCCCCTACATGCCTGCAGACGGGCACTTAATACTGGGAGGCATAGTTAGGTTGGCTGTAATCAGGCAGGGAGTTCATGTAACCCTGATCGCCTTGATACGTGGAATCCTGAGAGAGGACTGCATCCCCTTGAGACTTCAAGTGAAAATCTTCAGCCAAGTAACTATCCTATAAGAATAAACCACAGGGTAAAATATTTAAGAGAATTGTGCTTCCAAGACTTCATAGTGAAAGTACTACAGATGTTTGCATTACATACCTGTGACAGTTCTGGTTGGGATAATGGTTGAGATGCCATAGGTTGAGACATACCACCTTGAGTAAGCGGACCTTGGGATAATGGCTGTGAGGCCTCCTGTAATTACAATATATATTATCAACAAACAGCGGCAAGTGTTGGAGATTTTTTTCCCTAAGTTATCATCTTACCTGACTAGCCTGGCTTGTATTCATGCCATAGGAACCATGATTTACTTGATGTCTATTGTTTGAAGTTTGTGCACGGTTGTTGCGATTATACTGATTAGAAACATGTTGTTGTCGTACACCTGGCATTGGGCGACCTGGCATGGCCTAAAAAACCAAACATAGTAATGAAACAAACATAGTTTGAAACAGGGTACAGTATAAATGTTCTTGTCTATAACAAAACGTAGTTCCCAGTTGTGGCGTAGTTTAACTGCGGAATCTGAAATCTGATACAAAAGTTTTGGACTTACTTGATTGTAATAGTTATGTGGAGGTTGGGGAGGCATAGGTGGCAAAAACATTCCCACAGGAATAGGGATATTTCCAACAGCAGCTGCAACTGTTCGCTCCGCACCAATATAACCCATTCTGTCATGCGTCCGGTAGTAAGCGTCCTGGTATGTCGCCGTAGGATCAATCTGTGGCGCAAAACCAGGACCGATAACGCGGCCGGGCATAAGCGCTTCACGCGCATCAAACATTGTAGAACTCATAAAGCGACCTCCCTATGAATGATAAGCATAAGAATATAAGTTACAGCATCTCTTGTGATTTTAAAGAATGGAGTAAGGGTAATGGGAAATGGTTCATAGTCGGTACAGAATGATTCTCAGAATGATTGCAGCATATGAAACATAACTTACCGGGTTTGTTTTGTTGACAAGTTTCCTTGGTTTACTGAATTGAATCATACTTTCCTTCATGTTGTTCAAAGGTCCTATATAAATGATCAACATATCTCAAAATTCTAAGAACCATCTAAGCACTTGCAAATAATTCTCATTAAAAAAGACCAACCTTCAACAAGAACTTTATTCTCCTTGTAATAGTTTAACAAGTGATTCCACAATTCTTGCTAAAGAAATAAAACATTGTAAAGATACAAAAAATATTCTAGGCAGATCTGTGAAGGATTGAGCAGAGTCGCCACAAAATAAAATACGTAAGAAACTTTAGGATTTACCAACCCTGGACAAAACTTTTGGGTTTCCAACAATCAAAGTTCCATATCTATACAAAAAAGGAGTACCGCGTAAAATATCAAGCCGAGTAAAATATTAAACGACAAAAGGCAAAACTAACTTGGCTCTAGTCAATGCAACATTTAGACGACGAGGATCTTGTAAGAAGCCAATACCCTACAAGAAACACAGACGAAATATTCCTTCAGTATACATATAACATGAACATCACCTGTTTTTTGAGATGCATTTACCTGATGTTCATTAGAACGGACACAAGACAAAATAATGTAATCTTTTTCACGTCCTTGAAATGCATCCACACTTGCCACTTCAATTTCCTAAAAATATCTGAAGTCATATACTGTGCAAACAAGTGGTGTATAGCAGCAATAAAGAGATATTACTTGGTATAAGTTGACATGCATAGAGCCACTGTACTGCATGTACTGGACGATATAAGCTCGTTGGCCTTCATAAGGAGTGATCACGCCAATCTGTTCAGGCTTAACACCAGCACGGAGAAATCGAGTTGCAATTTTTTCCACAGCAGCAGCCTCGGTCCTACACGACAAGATTATGATGGGAAATGTAAATGTCTGCAAATTTATCTCTTTTTAAAATCAGAAATAAAAGTCGCAGTGGAGGTGCTAACCTGTTAAGAAAGGAGGTGCCAGAAGATCCAATTTCTTCTTGCCCAGTTGTAGCGTAAAAGAACATTGGTTTCTCAGGTACTGGCCAAGGGAAATCCATACCTGGCTGCATTCTTTCAGCTGTGGAAAAAATTATGCTGTATTAGTATTGTCCAACATACACCAGCTGGAGGGTAAAATCTAGTCAGAACTCAAAGCTGGAAAAAACCATATTTACCAACGGTGACGCCGTTCTGTAAAGTACCATCATAAAACAAGTTGGACGGGAA